GAAGGACCCGCATGGTGTGGTGGTGAACGCGTTACTCTCTGGAAAGGACAATAGCGCGTTCGTTCCCCATTATAGACACCTGCGGTCCAGAGTTTTGCAAAGATCTCAGCAACGTTGTGGTTGTATTTCGCTTAGTACCCTGCCGCGAAATTATAGTAGGCAGAAAATAAAAAGGTATAACAATACTGAGATATTTGCAAAACTCTGGACCGCAGGTGGTTGCGGTAGTGAACTAGATCAATCCCGTTGACGGGTGATTGCTGATGGCAAGTGGTCGATAGAACTAGCTGAGAGGCTGGCGAAACGAAGGACCGGCATAGTGTGATGGTGAACGCGTTACTCCCCGGAAAGGACAATAGCGCGTTCGCTCACCACCGCAGACACCTGCGGCCCGAAGTTTTGCACATATCTTAGCAGTATAATAATGTAACAGTTTTGAACTCGGTGTAAACGTACTTTCTCATTTAACAAACTGCCACTAGGTAATTGATCGACTTTTCACTATTTTGGCTCTAGAGGACGTGTGTGGCGTAGTGGTCCAAGGCGCCCTGCAACACACACGTGGAATCGATCCCCGTGGCCATGGCCCACCAAGCCTATCCGTCCGGAGTCGACAAATTAGTATCAGACTTGTCCGGCTCCATACATCGGTAGGTCACCGCGAGTCATTGTAAAGGCCACTTATGCAAGCAATCACCTTCAGACGATGCTTAATGAAGTCGAATGTATGGCGCATCCCTCAGTGATTGACCAACGCCGAGAGGTTTATTCTTTTACCTTGTCTTAAACCAGGAAAATTATTCAATTACAATTGTGTCCTCTGCCAATTAAACTAACCTGTCGGTAGAATATATTTATGTGTTTAGTAATAAACAGTGAGGATATGAATAAATGATAGAGGAATATGAAAAATCAACCTCTTGATGTCGTTCAATGAATTCGACCCAGAACGCCGCATGTGCGAGCTCCGTGTACGGTACGTCACGGACCATATCTTGGAAGGATAACATCGCTTTCTTGTATCTGGAAAAAAAACGTCTATTTCATCGAATTCTTTCGTGGATACCACTAGAATTTCAATGCTGTATTGGCAATCCCACTGAAAGCGAACAGAGCATAACGATAATAAATGGCGTTCAACATCACTCCATTACGACCCCGACGTTAGTTCGACATCGCCCCGTGTTCACCAAGCCTTTCATTTACTGGGAGTTCGGAAAATGGTTTCGGACTTGTTTGGGCTTAACTCACTCCTTCAAAGTCGCACAGGAACGCTCTTACAAAGCCACCCGAGGATTTGAGGGAGAGTCGACTCGGCAGGTTTCCAACGACATTCACTAAAAAGGAAACAACTCTCAACCAGCAGGCGAACCCACACGTAAAAGTTTGAAGGCGTTCGCTGATGATGGATGCGATGAAACGAATGGAATTTTTCGATGCACAAAACAAATGTGAAAATAGGTCATGTAACAAAATGCTGTTCAAACATGGGGACAACCGTTTCATGGTAAAAATTCATTGAAAATGACGATGCAATGATGCTGAGATACCTTTTTTTTATTTTCTGCCTACTATAATTTCGCGGCAGGGTACTAAGCGAAATGCAACTACAACGTTGCTGAGATATTTGCAAAACTCTGGACCGCAGCTGTCTATGGTGGGGAACGAACGCGCTATTGGCCTTTCTGGGGAGTAACGCTTTCACCACCACACCATGCGGGTCCTTTGTTTCGCCTGTCTCTCAGCTATTTCTATCGATCTTTGCCATAGCAACCACCCGTCAGCAGGAATGATCTGTGGCGCCCAAATCGGCATAGAACCAAAAAAAAAGGTATAACATTGTGATTTCAACTACAGCCGCAACCCAGTTAAGCTCTTCGGTCAAAAAAAAGCGGTCAGCAACGTTGTGGATGCTGAGATATTTCGCAACATATACTGCCATTAAATAGAGTAGGCAGTTAATAATAAGTTTAAATAACAGTGCAGTCAAATGCCCACCGCTTTGATAGATCTTTCACATCAACGGGCACGTTTATCTTTTCTTTCTCTATCAGGAGCTTCGCTGCTGACTGCCGAGGTAGAAAAACTTTGGGAACATGGGGTCGACTTATCGCTCCTCTAAATGGTGGCAAGGAGCGATATAATGGCTATCGTACCTCTTTAAAGCTCTCGTGTAGTACAAGTGGTACCTCTAGGTTAATAAGCAATGACGTATGGCTTTCACGTCGACAATATCAAAGGTTTTTGAGCGAGGCTAGACTCACGTAGCACAACCAGCATACCTTTGATTCTTTGGCTATGGTTTTTTGCTCCTGATAAAATACTTGTTGCCATACCGACGCCCGCCACCCTGGTTAAATTGGTAGAACATTCTTGGTGAGCAATTTAAGAGCAAGCTTTTCGACGAAGTCGACTTTATGGAGAATCTGCTATTTTCTTCGTTGGTAAAATAAATAGAGTAGCTGGTGGTATTTCAACTATCACTACTTGACAGAGAAACATGTTTCGAACAGCTACCTCTGTGTGCACTACCAGGGAAATAAAGAAAGAATCGCTCGACTTGACTCGGCAAATAGCCATCTCCAATGGCTACGAAACAGTAACCCCACGAGATAAGTTTACAAGGAGAACGACGTGCTCACTCGAAACACTTGGCCAAAAAAAAGTCCCGTTTGTGTTGCCTTTTATAAGCGATGAAGTAAGCGTAGCTATAAACGATGCTTAAGAAGGGCAGGTCTAGAGGAATCGGTAGTGATAGTTGAAATACCACCAGCTACTCAATGTCGTGAGTTAGTTCGTAACCGCCTGTATGACCGTCTGTGTGAAACAACAAATTGCGTAATTTGCCCTTACGGCAGGGACGGTGACTGCGTGAGTTCAGGTACGATATACCTGATCTCTTGTAATAATTGCGGAGATGAATAAATTGGCGAAACGAGCAGATCTTTGTGTATCCGTATAAAAGAACACCTCGATAGCAAATGAAAACTAAGACAAAGTACCCCACTAGGGCACGCATAGTATGCAAAAGTACAACGGAGACGATTTTGAAGTAAAAGTCAATATCCTTGCACAAGAGTCCAAAACGCCAGCGCGATAACTTTTCGAGACTTTTTGGATAAATACCAAAAACCCTACAATGAATAGCAGGGATGAATGCCCAGAGGTCATACCTGACCTGAGCCCGTATGTTCGCATCAATTTCTGATGTGTGATGGTGCAGTCATCAACCGTGTGCGACTATATTTACCTGCTCTAATCTTCCTCATTGGAAGTCAAGAAAAAAAGCGTTGAGTTTTTTCGAGAAGCTGTTGATCATGTTCACCATAGTTCTTCGTCTTTTTGTAAGTGTTATTGAAGCGTTTGGCCTAGTAGATTTTATATCAGTATACCCTTCCAGGCTCTGAAGAAGGCGATACTGCCGAAACGTCAGCTAGCGTTGTATTGTATTGTGTTTTTATGGAAGTAAATGTTTTGTGATGTTCTTCGCGCTTCTCTTGTAAACTTGGATCACAAGGCACATTACACTGATGACAAAGGAAAAATGGTGGATCTGCTGAAGCTCGCTCGAATCAGTCAATGGATTGCAATAATGTAGGGATTTATTAAATATTTCCGACACTACTACATCTGTATTCTTCTGGCCTTCTGCTTGTTTATTCCTGTGTTAACATAGTAGTCACTGCTGGTTACCAAACTACTCCAAATTTCATTCACACCGAACCTTTAAATAAGTACGAAATCTTGATGTTTAGAAGAAATCCAAAAATACTAACTTGTTTTTACGAATCTCCTGCAGCGCCCAAATGAGTTTTTTAGCGCTAAACTCTGTTTTCGGGATAAGAATACCTGCGCCTCGGGCGCTAATCCGTAGTAAATTGTCGTGCCCTAAAAATACAATCTTGATTCTTTTCTGATAACTTCACTTTTCCTTGTCAATTATTTATCATTTTAGCGGCAAATTACAAAACAAATGTGATTTGGTAAATGAATCGAAACAGCATTAATGATTTTTAGATTTTTTTCTATTATTCCATGACCTGATACAACATGTCTCACATTATGCGAACTGCAGCACTTCCTGCATTCGATTCGCTTCTTCTCATCCACCATCCACAAAGGTTTTTTAAACTCTTCACGTGTGTGTTCGGCTGCTGCTTTGTAATGCTGTCTTCTTCATGAATTACGCTTGATGTTAGCCGAGTCGATTAGCACTTGCATTTTGAAATAGCCCTGCCACAGCGTTACCACATGGATTGGAAGCAGTTGGCTTGCCCCAGGTAAATAGGGTACCAATTTCCCGATTCCGTAGAGATGATGAATTTTGTGGACGGAGAGAGAGTTCGAGCCAGTACGTGGGTAAGTTGAGCCGCACTCGTAATGATTGGGGTCACTACCTCTCCCAACAACAACGATAATATCACTTTTATTAGCAATAATAAGCAGTAATAGGTTACGCCGGTAAGAGAAGCTTAAGAAAAAGTGGCCTTGAAAACCATGCGGCGATTGTTGACGCCTCACCCAATACCCTACGCCGTCAGTTAGTTCGCAACCACCTCTATGAACGTTTCTGGAGTTCAGAAAACTGTGTGATCTGTCCTAACGGGAGAGACGGGGATTGCATGAGTTCAGGTATAACATACCTGATTTTATGTAACGCGTGCGGTGAGGAATATATAGGGAAAACGGGGAAACCACTTTGTGTCTGCATAAAAGGACATCTAGATGGGAAAGTTAAAATCCGTCAAAACACAACTCTAGGTACACATAGAGCACAAAAGCACAACGGCGACGATTTTGAAATGAATGTGCGGATCCCAGCGCAGGAATCAAAAACATCAACGCGCAAAGCTCTTGAGGAGTTTTGGATAAATTTCAAAAATCCAAAGATGAACCGGAAAGACGAATGCTTCACTATCACGCGTGACCTGGCACCCTATTTCAAAATGATATTTTGACCCCGGGGTGTGTCTTGCTCGCGGTCCCACGTGAACAACGCGTGGGCCAGTCCCACTCGTGACAGCACGGTGAGTAGCCTTTTTGACCAATATGGCGCTTATTTGAAATAAGTAGTTATTATCTTCAATAATTTATTATCTTGTTCCTACAGCCGGCTTCCTGGGTGTGTAACGTCGATGCAACGCAATGTGAGTTCGCCCAGGAATAAATAACTGAAGCTGATCAGTAACTCGATCAAGAAGCCCAGCCCAGTTTGTAAACTAGTTTCAGGAATCGTCTCCTTTAGGAAACCTAGTTGAATGACAGCAAATGTCTCTGGGATAGAAATAGATCATCTGTTGCTTGTGGTGACCACATGATTACGCCTAGGATCACCAACTTTGACACTCCAATACATCACACTTAGTTAATAAAATGTCGGTCAAACTAAATGCTGCTAAGGACCGCACAATCCTTCTTAAAGGTGAACCAAATTCAGGTGTTCAAGTATCCAATAGAAGATCAATAGTAGGGTTCCATCAATATCAAACGAGGATGAGTTCTGCTTGTGATGTACTTACTGTATACCGTAGAATGATGTCAATAAATAGATAATAATTGAAGAAAAGAACAAAGAGAGTATTAAAACCAAAACATAGAAAAGGAAGAAATCGTCAGCCAATATGTTTCTTAGTAGAACAATGCCTCTTTGGTTACAGCTTATTAATGGAAAAAATGAAGCGAAATAATAACAGAATTCAGGAAACTATGGAGCTAAAGTAAACCATCAAGAACTTAAAAGCTAAAAAAATACTTGCTGAAGTTGTAAGAAAAGCCGGTAAAAAAAAGCAACGCTACGAACCAGCAACAGTGAGCGGAACGCCAATGGTTGGAACGCCATGCCATACGGACTCTATGACGCTGTTCATTCCGCCATGAGTAATGTAAGCGCGACACTTTGGATGACCTTAATCTCTGTGATTAAAACATGTACATTGGAAAGCATCACTGCAAAGAATTAACGCCCACTCAGAATATCGACTAGATTAAGAATGAGAGTTTATGGCAGAAGTAAAACTGGAAAAAACAATGAAATCTATTCCTAGCCATCCGGTGCGCCTAATAGATAATATCTGTAGAGTAGAAAAGATAAAGTTCTCGGCGTTGACCAATTTCTGAGAGATGTGCTATGCATTCGACTTCAATAAGTACCGTTGGAGGTGATTGAATGCATATTTGGTCTTTGGATGACTCGCGGTGGCCTACCATTGTGTCGAGCTAGTGCTACTATCTTCCCAGACAAGTCTGGTACCAATTCGCCGATTACGGGAGGTTGGAGGGCTTGGTGAGCCTTGGACGCGAGGACCGATGCCATGTATGTTGCAGGGAGCCTCCAAGCACTGCGCCACACGCGCTCTGCTTAGCATTTGTAGTCAAAAAAATTTGTATAAAATATTGCTGTGTCCAGATTACATCTATTTTATTGATTTATTTGTTTATATGACCCTCAATAAAAAAATTTCTCGCATTACTTTCTTTCGCTTAGTTATCTCACATCTTTCATCAACGACAACTTCCAGATTTGTTCGTGTGTTCGGTTGCTAGTTGAAGAATCTCTCTTTTTAGTAAACATCGCTGAGTGCTCGTCGAGTTGAATCTCCCTGAAATCCTGGAACATCTCTACTACAGCGCTGACAAAAGTCGACCACATGAAGTCGCCGGTCTTTCTGGATATGAGTGTGCCCTTCCCCAACAAGTCTGATAGCAGTTTCAAGATCCTTGGGGAGAGGAGGCTTCACTGCCCTGCAACACGGTCAAACCGATGGGTGTAGTGCGAATAGTGCACGACATCTCTGTTTGTGTTATGGCTTTGGGCTTCACATACCTATTTTTACGTTTTATGTTTATTTTATTGAATAAAATCATTTAATCACCTAAGAGATCCTGTTGTGGAAGCCATGCTTGGGTGAAAACGTTGGAGGGTACGGCGCTAAACGGTGTACCGTCGTACTGCCAGATAAATTTCACTTTAGGATAGGCTTTAAATGTACTCAAATAGATGTCCTGAAAATAAATACATTTAGAAAAGCTCATTACAGAAAGGATACTAGACAAAATCTTCATGCTATAAAAATCTTTGGGAAAAGTTAAGATTTGCTTTCTACATATATTCGACCGACCACTTGGCTATAACACGTATTGCCGTCGCGTTTGAAGAATTCTAGGCGAAGAATTCCAAGGTAGGAAACCTAATCTCGACCCACGACGCTAATAGGCTCTCCATGGTGAGAGTATGGGAACATTTTAGCACGACTATCCTAGGTTTCGATGAATGAGCACGTTCGACCAGCATTCAGCATGTAAATGAGAAGAGAAGTCGACAGATCCAAAATCGTAGCGGAATCCAGACATCGAACCGACCACTTTTATGAACAACTGTGGTGAAACAACTAAATGAATAGACTAAGTGCTTGCGATTGCAAAACATATAAAAATGGAGAATCTAAGTAATTTTGAAAATAAGTTTCAGATGGAAAGCGAACACGAGCAAATCCAGTAGGGTTTTCATAACCTTGACGAATTTCTCTAAATTACTTTTTTCCATGTCCCATTAGGACATATTTCAATTCTTACTAGTCAAGAAATTTATGCTATGATTAGGATTTTCAAATCTAGTAACTAAGGAGGAAACACCTGTGCATGAGAGAATTTAGGTTCTGCTCCATTCACACAGGTTAAACGGCAGTTTTACTACCTATGCCATTACATTCATACTAAGAATTCTAAAAAACTTCATTGTTAGAAATAACTAAACCCTTGGATTATATAAATTCTCCGAAGATCTGAACAATCGGAAAACCAGCTTATGATCCCTATATGGAATCTGTTAAAATTAGATGCCATTTCACGCTTATTATTTCCAAACTAATAGGTAAAAGGGCAAAGGTCCGAAAGTTCAATAACTCTCCGTGATGATGAACTAGGAAGGCCATGGCAAGGTTGCCTCAGGTTACCGGAAAAACTTACAAGCAGGAAAAGCCATATAAGTTGTGGTAAAACATTTATTACATGTAATCATTTAAATATTTATTTAACTAGCCATACAAACTTTCATGACTTCTCATGCAGAATGTTTGATGGAGACTTTAAGTCACAGCTTTCATGAATGACAAATGGTGCAATTGTGAACAACTCGAGGTGTATGGTTGCCTGATTGAAAGCTACGTCTAGTAAATTTATCTTAGACGTTCAGCGAGAATGAAGAACAACATGAAATGGAAACTGTGTATAAGAACGATATTGAGCTTCAAGAGGAAATGCACGGACGTCTTTATGGTCAATCAATCAGTTACATACTCCGTACTGGTATACCATACTCGAAGCTAACCATCGCCACGGACGATGATCACGAGACTAATGAATGAACGGAGAATATGTTGTGGTTCGCAGACTCGTGATGACTGTGCTTCCAAATGTCCAAGAAAATAGGTATTTAAGTCTTAAGCACATTCGTACCACCTCGATAGACATTTTATTGAACAATTACTAAGTGCACTAAGTAGTAGATCGACTAAAAGAAATAAGTATATTGCATTCTTTCTTTGATGAGTTTACACGAGGCTGATAATGGTGTTTATTTTCGGCTAACGTTTCGACGTCTTCGTCTTCCTCAGAGCCGATGATCCGAGTCGATGGTCCTCGCTTGTTATTCGCCTCGACGTTGCGTCTTCGCCTTCGTGTCGAGCCAGATCTTCCTCAGTGAGCCATCTCCTCGAATGAGGCGTCAAAAAGGCACTGATGCCCTTTTATACACGATGCTGATGGTCGATATAATGATAATGTCTGGTGATAACAACTTGTTTTTCTTCCGGACATACATCATTGCGCACATCGTGCAGAAGTCGGTGCTGTTATCAGCTAGCACAAAGCGTAGTAATATTTCGAAACCGACTTTCCCTGAACCTCGGTATCACTAATCAATATGTATTCTTTCTTTGATGAGCTTACACGAGGTTGATAATGATGTTTATTTTCGGCTAACGTTTCGACGTCTTCGTCTTCCTCAGAGCCGATGTTCCGAGTCGATAGTCCTCGCTTGTTATTATATTTTGTTATAAGTATATTGCATTTTTTAAAATTACCTATAGATGAAACGCTCAAATAGTTGTAGTTTTCTTGGCACCTACTTTAATTCTTTGTGAAGCTTTTGCCCATTGTGCTGTGAAGCCAGTTGTGATCAGCGCGAAACCGTCATCATCGGATGCTGCGGCCACAAAATCATTCAGGGCCTTAAGAAAAGTGTATCTCAGGCTGGGAAAAATTGCTGCAAACATTAAGGCTTATGAATAAAGGTTGGAAATAAATAATAAAACCTAAATAAGTAAAGAAAGCATCGGATAAAAAGCCAAAGCATTGTGATTTCGACTGCAACTTCAGCCTAGGTGGGGTCAATGTCGATATGTGCTCGTCAGATCATTCCGCTGACGGGTAATTGCTGATAGCACCGGTGGTAAAAAAAATGACAAAAAAAAGACAAAGAAAGGACCTCGGTTGGTGTGGTGGATAATACGTGAACACCCGGAAAGGTAAACGCCGGTTCGAAACCCAACTGCGGTTTCGAGTTTCGTTCATGTCTCAGCATTCTTATGATTGTATTTCACATAATAGCCTGACATGCAAAAAGAATAACCAGCAAAAAAATTTAATAGGAATAAACGCCAGTAACTAATAGTCACAGCTAATAATAACTGTAATAATAACAAACCCCTCCAAGGGCGGTCGCATTTCTGCAATGAAGTCCTCCGACGAAATTAACCCTTGGCATGTATGGCCGAGCAAAATCGAAAATCGGTGGATTGTTCACGAAATTGATGGACGCATTTCGTTCGATGTCGAACGCTGTCGCCACACCCGGATAGTGCTTCTGGAATGGTCTCAGAAAAATCAGCAATCGATCGATAACTGGAAAATTTGTTAGGCTACCACCTAGACGTTTTTCATCGCCCCAAGATACGTTTCAACTTGTAGGTGCCTTTTTTTCTCGGAGATCCGTAACGTATAACTGTCTTCATAGGGCAAACTTTCTCATATCGCGATTTTCGAAAATTTTTATTAAATCGGAAGCTTTTTGTTTTTAAAGGGTCAGATGGTTGTTTATGTATACATGAGGTGCTTCAAAGCATTTGTTCCGCTTACATAGCTGCTTCTTGAAATTTTGATCTGTAGGATTTACTCCAAACACCAGATAATCCCAGATAACTTCCGGAACTGGAGACACCTTACTTCCAACTAAACCTTAATAATATTATCATGACAAAGATCGCACACATGTCACCGCACATCACACATGTTAGCGATGTCACTTTTCGTCAATGGGCTCCGTCACAACCTGACTGAAGGTCAAGATGGTTACCAATTCAAAGTACATGAACATTTCCTCGACTTGTCTTGAGATCTCGATTTTTCCACACATGTCACGCTGATCAGTGGTGACGTTCTTTCCACTTCATCTGGATTTGTTGTAGTCTTTCAAAAAGTAGCAAACAAAAAACAATCACTGCAATGTATAGTGACGTTTAGGGTTGTGGAATATCATTGCTATGTCATCTTTGTGACATTGACCAGTGAGTAACATGTTGATGCACTTCTTTTAGAAGCTGCTGCGTCGTAGAATTCATTCACAAATACTGATGACATCGTGGAATAGCTGTGGATCTCGACCATCCACGACAAGATGTTGGACGCATAGCAAGAAGGTCATCGATCAAAACGTTAAACTACCTCAAGCTCATGGCATGGGTCGATTGAGCAGAAGCTGATTGCCAACTTTGACATGTTAAATGGATAGGTGGGAAATTTGCTAGTGCTCCATCCAATCATTCGATATCAACGAAAGAGAGGAGAATACTGTTGTTGACTGGACGACTTTTGATGGTAACGCGATGCTGAGTATTGGAAGAAAAAACCTGTAGTAATCGCTACCCGCAGGGCCGCTGATATGATGTGTGCAGTTGAAAATGCCACGCTAGTGCCAAAGGTCCACCGATCTCAAGAATTTAGGATTAAAGTGGCCAAGTTATAGTAACCTTTTCAGAGCGGATTATTTAGAAACTCACAAAAATCGGTCATTCCAATAGATAAAAATTCTTCAACTACCAAATCGCTTACCTGAAAAACTGCATCGATACGTGCTAAGATGATGACCTGATGAATATACAAAGCACGAAGATATGAAGCGAGATTGTATGTTCGTTCAATGAAAGAGAGTTCTTCGGTGAGTCTGGATGACTGTCTTTTAGGATGTAATATAAAACTGTTTTAAGAGATTGAAAAATTCATTGCGAATTACTAAATTCATTAAAACGATAGGAAAACAAGGGATAAAGCGTCCGACATTGATCGAACCCGAAGGGATGTGCCATGTCATTGACTTTATTACGATTCATAAAGGTGAACTAATGCATATCTGGTCTCTACAATGACTGGCGGTGGCCTACCAATGAAGTCAGTGTCGCAATTTTGCCAGAAAAATCTTGTACCAATTTTTTATCACCGGTGGGATGGAGGATTTCGTTACACTCTGGTGCTGGGATGAGTCAATGGTCAGTACCCACTGTGTTACATGCTTGATGCCTTCGTCGAAATCACTATGTTGACTTTTTATTTACTTCTTACTATTATTTTTCATGGCAGGATATAATGTGAAATGCAAATACTATGATGCTAATATATTTGCAAAACTTGGACCGTAGGATAGATTTGTGCTCCCTAGACTAATCCCGTTGACAAGTGATTGCTAATGACAGTGTTAGGTAAAACTCGCTGAGAGAAAGGCAAATCAGGGGCGTCATTGGTGCAGTGCGTGACACATGAGCCCCAGAAAGATATTTTGGTTTATTTCTATCAAAGTCTTTTTTTGCATTAGCGAGATATCAATGTTGAAATCTTCATGCCTAAGCTCTAAGAGTTACATAACTATTTAGAGTTATATCACTATTCCCACTATTGTAATTTGAAGTATTACTATTTTCCTACAGTTGACCTATTCCTTACTTAGTGCCGTGCACCGGGAGGTAACTCGGGGGTGATGGACTTTGATTGGCCCATGCGGATTCGGTCCGAAGTGCAGTCATGCTCCAGTAGATATATACGGAACCTATAAAGTTTCAAAAAAAGTTAAGGCAAGAAAAATCGAGGAACGAATCCTAAGTAACTATTTAAAGTCTTTAAAGATTTTTTTAAAGACAAAAAAGTCTTCAATAGTGTGAAAACAAACACCACGCAATTTTCTCTTAACTTCTTGGAAGTAGACCTGATCAACATATGGACCGAGATATCATAGCCACCGCTTCGCAATGTCGAGATTCCTTTCTTAACTTTTCTGCTCTTCCATGGCCACCCTATCACGACCATAGGAAATGGAGATCGAAATGGCAAGAGGACATGAGTACTGATTGGAAACTTTATCCTCCGTTTTATTGCCGTCCTTTTCCTGAGTATCACTAAAACAGAGCCTGTGCTCACATAGCTCTGTGACGCCTTGAAAAGTTTAGAACAAGAAATATCCTGGAAGAAGACTCAGTTATAAGGAAGCCTTTTGTGGGCTGCAAAGCGAATCAAAATGGATTCTTTCTGAATTAGGGTGACCACATCCCACATGTAGATATACACAGCCTTCAATGAACAGAGAAAAAAATTATATGAGACAGCACGCATATGGAAGAAGTAGGTTATAGTGAGATGCTCTGAAGTCTGCCAGAAAGATAACTGACGCCTAGAGATCGTTGACAAACACGGAATGATAAATATCAATGATGTTAGGTGATTGTCGCAATGCAATATCGGTCGTGTTGGGACCATATAGAATTATAGAATTCGAATATAGACCATATAGAATTCGCCAAAGATGTCCACATTCCCAGATGGAAGTAGTTAATTTTATTTTATTCCTTTATTCATGTAAACCTAAATAACATCTTAAACGGTTCGTTGCTCTTTCTTGAGTCGGCTCGTTATCTAGTATCCGTGATTCACCAAAGTCTTCGAACCGCAGTGTTGGTTCAGCCACCATATCAAAGCTCTGTTTTCCCAACGAAAACCGTTGAATTTCGGTCTAGTTGATTTTCTTTGAAGTCCTGGAGTAGCTCTATTAGAGCTTTAATAGATTTATAACAGCAAAGAAATGGTGAAAAACTGCACTAGATTCTATAGGAGCCTCTCTTGTGAACGCAATTCGTTGGAATCGCTACCATTTTCCGCTTAGGCTTTAAATATGCTTCTGCACTTGGAATAAGTACTATTCACTACCTGTCATCACAGCTGCCGCGTGGATATTAGAATTTCTTACATTCATTTCGTTTCCTCGTGCCCACCACTTCTAAAGGTCTTCGAAGTTTTCGCATGTGGATTCTGCTGATGCTAAAGGATTGTCGCCTGCGTGACGAATGTTGTTAAATGCTAGTTAAATGGATTCTTCCTCGAGTCCTGGACTAGCTAGGCCAGATCGTTACCACTTGTACTACAGGTAGTAACTTTCCCAGGCAAGTATGGTATCAATCTCCCGACCTTGAAACGATGAATGACTTGGTGAGCCTGAGGCGTGATCGAGCCAGCAGTGTTCGTGAGAAACGAAATAACTAACACTGTATTACCCGCCCCTGGAATAAAAACAAACGAGCGAAAGAAGAAGAATTGTGTTCTGCCTCTAAACATACCATAGAAATATTATATATATATATATATATATATATATACGATAAATTGAAATCTACCTTTTAGAGCAACCATCAATAACCCACATGGATTGTAGAGGTCATCAACGACTACAGTATCGAACCTGAAGTGCCAATCGTTTGTTTATTGATATATCTCGGCTTCGACATTTAGCAAGGCAAATACACAACACGTGGTTAATCCATCTTGTTCTGTACTTTGGTAAATTTGAGTTACGGTAGATAGTACTGCAAGTACGCAATAATGGCATAATTCAATTATGTTTCACTGCGGGCTCATTTGCGCTGTTCATACTCTAACGAACTACCGTTTCACTGTCAGTTCTTCATCAAAAAATAGTCTAAGACGAAAAAGAAAACCTTTTAGACCCAAGGAAGTTTCGGTTTTTCGATAAGCTCTATTATGTCGTTTTCTTGCTCAGCAATCGCGAGGTTTTTAAACAGCATACATTTACTTCCATAAAAACACAATACAATACAACGCTAGCTGACGTTTCGGCAGTATCGCCTTCTTCAGAGCCTGGAAGGGTATACTGATATACAATCTACTAGGCCAAACGCTTCAATAACACTTACAAAAAGACGAAGAACTCTCCGGTAATTACACAATCAACAACTTCTCGAAAAACCCACCGCTTTTTCGTGACTTCCAATGAGGAAGTTTAGAACAGCTGATTATAGTCGCATGTGGTTGACGACTGCACCATCCCACATCAAAAATCGATGCGAACGTACGAGATCAGGTCGCGTATGATCTCCGGGCATTCGTCCCTGCTATTCATTGTAGGGCTTTTGGCATTGATCCAAAAAGCCTCAAGGAGTTTTCGC